TGGGCAGTGTTGAGTCTATGGCAGTGTTGAGTCTATGGGCAGTGTTGAGTCTATGGGCAGTGTTGAGTCTATGGGCAGTGTTGAGTCTATGGGCAGTGTTGTGTTAGTCTATGGGTAGTGTTGAGTCTATGGGTAGTGTGAGTCTATGGGTAGTGTTGAGTCTATGGGCAGTGTTGAGTCTATGGGCAGTGTGAGTCTATGGGCAGTGTTGAGTCTATGGGCAGTGTTGAGTCTATGGGCAGTGTTGAGTCTATGGGCAGTGTTGAGTCTATGGGCAGTGTGAGTCTATGGGCAGTGTTGAGTCTATGGGCAGTGTTGAGTCTATGGGTAGTGGTGAGTCTATGGGCAGTGTTGAGTCTATGGGCAGTGTTGAGTCTAGGGTAGTGTTGAGTCTATGGGCAGTGTTGAGTCTATGGGCAGTGTTGAGTCTATGGGCAGTGTTGAGTCTAGGGTAGTGTTGAGTCTATGGGTAGGTTGAGTCTATGGGTAGTGTTGAGTCTATGGGTAGTGTTGAGTCTATGGGTAGTGTTGAGTCTATGGGCAGTGTTGAGTCTATGGGCAGTGTTGAGTCTATGGGCAGTGTTGAGTCTATGGGTAGTGTTGAGTCTATGGTAGTGTGAGTCTATGGGCAGTGTTGAGTCTATGGGTAGTGTTGAGTCTATGGGCAGTGTTGAGTCTATGGGTAGTGTTGAGTCTATGGGTAGTGTGAGTCTATGGGTAGTGTTGAGTCTATGGTAGTGTTGAGTCTATGGGCAGTGTTGAGTCTATGGGTAGTGTTGAGTCTATGGGTAGTGTGAGTCTATGGGTAGTGTTGAGTCTATGGGCAGTGTTGAGTCTATGGGCAGTGTTGAGTCTATGGGCAGTGTTGAGTCTATGGGCAGTGTTGAGTCTATGGGTAGTGTTGAGTCTATGGGCAGTGTTGAGTCTATGGGCAGTGTTGAGTCTATGGGTAGTGTTGAGTCTATGGGCAGTGCTGAGTCTATGGGCAGTGTTGAGCCTATGGGCAGTGTTGAGTCTATGGGGTGTTGAGTCTATGGGCAGTGTTGAGTCTATGTGCAGTGCTGAGTCTATGGGCATGCTGGTCTATGGGTAGTGTTGAGTCTATGGGTAGTGTTGAGTCTATGGGTAGTGTTGAGTCTATGGGTAGTGTTGAGTCTATGGGCAGTGTTGAGTCTATGGGCATGAGTCTATGGGTAGTGTTGAGTCTATGGGCAGTGTTGAGTCTATGGGCAGTGTGAGTCTATGGTGGAGTCTATGGGTAGTGTTGAGTCTATGGGCAGTGTTGAGTCTATGGGTAGTGTTGAGTCTATGGGCAGTGTTGAGTCTATGGTGCAGTGTGAGTCTATGGGCAGTGTTGAGCTATGGTGCAGTGTTGAGTCTATGGGCAGTGTTGAGTCTATGGTGCAGTGTTGAGTCTATGGTGCAGTGTTGAGTCTATGGGCAGTGTTGAGTCTATGGGCGTGTTGAGTCTGTGGGCAGTGTTGAGTCTATGGGTAGTGTTGAGTCTATGGGCAGTGTTGAGTCTGGGCAGTGTTGAGTCTATGGGCAGTGTTGAGTCTATGGGTAGTTGAGTCTATGGGCAGTATTGAGTCTATGGGCAGTGTTGAGTCTATGGGCAGTGTTGAGTCTATGGGCAGTGTTGAGTCTATGGGCAGTGTGAGTCTATGGGCAGTGTTGAGTCTATGGGCAGTGTTGAGTCTATGGGCAGTGTTGAGTCTATGCGTAGTCTTGAGTCTATGGGCAGTGTTGAGTCTATGGGCAGTGTTGAGTCTATGGGCAGTGTTGAGTCTATGGGCAGTGTTGAGTCTATGGGCAGTGTGAGTCTATGGGCAGTGCTGAGTCTATGGGTAGTGTTGAGTCTATGGGCAGTGTTGAGTCTATGGGCAGTGTTGAGTCTATGGGCAGTGTTGAGTCTATGGGCAGTGTTGAGTCTATGGGTAGTGTGAGTCTATGAGTAGTGGTGAGTCTATGGGCAGTGTTGAGTCTATGGCAGTGTGTGAGTCTATGGGCAGTGTTGAGTCTATGGGCAGTGTTGAGTCTATGGGCAGTGTTGAGTCTATGGGCAGTGTTGAGTCTATGGGCAGTGCTGAGTCTATGGGCAGTGTTGAGTCTATGGGCAGTGTTGAGTCTATGGGTAGTGTGAGTCTATGGGCATGTTGAGTCTATGGGCAGTGAGTCTATGGGTAGTGTTGAGTCTATGGGCAGTGTTGAGTCTATGGGCAGTGTTGAGTCTATGGGCAGTGTGAGTCTATGGGCAGTTGAGTCTATGGGCAGTGTTGAGTCTATGGGTAGTGTGAGTCTATGGGCATGTTGAGTCTATGGGCAGTGTTGAGTCTATGGGTAGTGTTGAGTCTATGGGTTGTGTGAGTCTATGGGCAGTGTTGAGTCTATGGGCAGTGTTGAGTCTATGGGTAGTGTTGAGTCTATGGGCAGTGTGAGTCTATGGGCAGTGTTAGTCTATGGGTGTGAGTCTATGGGCAGTGTTGAGTCTATGGGCAGTGTTGAGTCTATGGGCAGTTGAGTCTATGGGCAGTGTTGAGTCTGTGGGCAGTGAGTCTGGGGCAGTGCTGAGTCTATGGGCAGTGTTGAGTTTGGGTGTGAGTCTATGGGCAGTGTTGAGTCTATGGGCAGTGCTGAGTCTATGGGCAGTGTTGAGTCTATGGGCAGTGTGAGTCTATGGCAGTGTTGAGTCTATGGGCAGTGTTGAGTCTATGGGCAGTGTTGAGTCTATGGGCAGTGTTGAGTCTATGGGCAGTGTTGAGTCTATGGCAGTGTTGAGTCTATGGGCAGTGTTGAGTCTATGGGCAGTGTTGAGTCATGGGCATGTTGAGTCTATGGGCAGTGTTGAGTCTAGCAGTGTGAGTCTTGGCATGTTGAGTCTATGGGCAGTGTTGAGTCTATGGGAGTGTTGAGTCTATGGGCAGTGTTGAGTCTATGGGCAGTGTTGAGTCTATGGGCAGTGTTGAGTCTATGGGCAGTGTTGAGTCTATGGGCAGTGTTGAGTCTATGGGTAGTGTTGAGTATATGGGCAGTGTTGAGTCTATGGGCAGTGTTGAGTCTATGGGCAGTGCTGAGTCTATGGGCAGTGTTGAGTCTATGGGCAGTGTTAGTCTATGGGCATGAGTCTATGGGCAGTGTTGAGTCTATGGGCAGTGTTAGTCTAGGGCATGTTAGTCTATGGGCAGTGTTGAGTCTATGGGTAGTGCTGAGTCTATGGTAGGTGTTAGTCTATGGGCAGTGTTAGTCTATGGGCAGTGTTGAGTCTATGGGCAGTGTTGAGTCTATGTGCAGTGTTGAGTCTATGGGCAGTGTTGAGTCTATGGGCGGTGTTGAGTCTATGGGCGTGTGAGTCTATGGGCAGTGTTGAGTATGGTGCAGTGTTGAGTCTATGGGCAGTGTTGAGTCTATGGTGCAGTGTTGAGTCTATGGGCAGTGTTGAGTCTATGTGCAGTGTTGAGTCTATGGGCAGTGTTGAGTCTATGGGCAGTGTTGAGTCTATGTGCAGTGTTGAGTCTATGGCGGTGTTGAGTCTATGTGCAGTGTTGAGTCTATGTGCAGTGTTGAGTCTATGTGCAGTGTTGAGTCTATGGGCAGTGTTGAGTCTATGGGCAGTGTTGAGTCTATGGGCAGTGTTGAGTCTATGGGCAGTGTTGAGTCTAGGCGGTGTTGAGTCTATGGGCGGTGTTGAGTCTATGTGCAGTGTTGAGTCTATGGGCAGTGTTGAGTCTATGGGCGGTGTTGAGTCTATGTGCAGTGTTGAGTCTATGTGCAGTGTTGAGTCTATGTGCAGTGTTGAGTCTATGGGCAGTGTTGAGTCTATGGGCGGTGTGAGTCTATGGGCGGTGTTGAGTCTATGGGCATATGTCTGTTTGAACTTCTGTTGCACTGTACGTAGCACAAAATCGTGCTAATCGGAGGTGCAGGGGGTAGGAAAGTCGTGTAATATTCTTCAAGGGCCATGCTTAAACTCGTTGTCTGCTATTATCGATGTTTTTAAATCCTTTATATTAAGTTCGCTTGCTTGCTTAGGACCGTGCAAATCTTTCGGTCGTTTTTTAATCCACTTCCCGTGATCCAATCGAGCTGACATTTTCCACACAGACTCGTTGTGCGTGACAATTAATGTTCGTGAAAATTTTTTTTCCAAAATTTTACACTTTTTAGGACAAAAATATTATATTTAATTACCAATTGCTTAATGTGCAATGCAATCATCTGACCCATAGGTGGCAGCCATGCTCAAGCCAGAGGACGAGAGGACTCTATGCCGCCACGCATATAAAGGATTTATAGTGAAAAACTTTGTTTCTACGTGTTATACTTATTTTAGTCCTTGTTTGCTACTGTTGCTAAAGCGTCCATCATCAGGTGGAACGGACGCTTGTGTTGCGATCCGAAACGTCGTGCTATATTATTTTATCTGACTTTACCTGAAGAACCAAAGAGTATGGATTCCTGCAGTCACGAAAGCCTCAAATCGAGATTGAATCTCGGCACTGATAAGGGGTTACGGGTCTGAGATGCAGAGCAGCACACGACTTCCAATTTCAAATCAAGGTGGTGGGGGGGTCAAGCCAGCAGATACCCGCGTCAGGAAGTAGTAGCAGCAGCGGGGGTCGTCTTGTATCGTCGCTGGTGGTGTCTCCTCTTCGTATTTGTGGATCGGGGCATCGTTACGTTGTCACACGTTGCTGCTGCTGTTGTTGTGTTGCTGCTGTTGGTGCCTGCTGCTGTTGTTGTTGCTGTTGTTGCTGCTGCTGTTGCTGTTGTTGCTGCTGCTGTTATTGTGTTGCGCTGCTGCTGTTGTTGATGTTGTTGTTGTTGCTGCTGCTGTTGCTGCTGCTGTTGCTTGTTTGCTGCTGCTGTTGTTGCTGCTGCTGTTGTTGCTGCTGCTGTTGTTGTTGCTGCTGTTGTTGTTGCGGTCTCAGTTCCTGGATGAGCACAGTCGCCACGCTGCTACTGGAGAGGTGGTTCTTTTTTCATCGCACTTTCCATTGGTGCATCATCGCCGATCCGCATCTGCTGCTGCTGCCCGTTTGGTTTGTGCGGTGGATGCGGTGTGAGGGGTGCGGGACCATGAGGTGTGAGCACTGACGTTCTGTAGCGCAAGCGTGTTTGCGAATGCCGTATGATGTTTATATGGGCGCGCTCGTGTGTGCGTACGGGCACGGTGTGTGTGGCGTGAACCCGTGTGTGGTGTGTGTGCGTCTCACACTCACATGCGTGCGTACACGTGCGTGTGTGTGGTGCGCGAAACACGTGTGTTTGTGTGCGTGCACTGGGCACGTGTGTGTAGTGCGATGGTGCGTCACACACACAACATGCGCCGCGTGCACACGCCACAGCAAGTTGGCACAGTAGGGGGCACAGGTGGTGCATCAGCCAGTCATCTCAGTTCAAGCCAACCGTGGCACCTTCTGGGTCTGCCCTGTGATCTCTTGCCAGCGGGTGTTCGACACTTCACGTGGCCTAAACGTGCACATGGCCTGGCACAAGCGTCGCGGAGACGTTATCGCCACCGTTGTTGGCGAATGGCGGCTATTGTAGTTGTACACGCGCATTTGTGTGTGTGCGTACACGTGTGGTGCGTGTGTGTGCGTACACGTGTGTGTGTGCGTACACGTGTGTGTGCGTGTGTGTGCATGTGTGTGTGCGTACACGTGTGTGTGTGCAAGTGTGGCGTGTGTGTGTGTGTGCGTACACGTGTGTGTGTGTGCGTTGTGTGCGTGCGTACACGTATGTGTACACGTGTGTGTGTGTGTGCGTGCGTACACGTATGTGTACCCGTGTGTGTGTGAGTACGTGTGTGTGCTGGTGTCACGGTGTGTGCGTGTGTACACGTGTGTGTGCGTGTGTACACGTGTTGTGCGTGTGTACACGTGTGTGTTGCGTACACGTGTGTGTGCATACACGTGTGTGTGTGTACACGCGCGTGCGTGTGTGTGAGTACGTGTGTGTGTGCGTGTGTACACGTGTGTGTGTGTGTGAGTACGGTGGTGTGCGTGTGTACACGTGTGTGTGTGTGTACACGCGTGCTGTGTGTACACAGTGTGTGGTGTGTGTGTGCGTACGCGTGTGTGGTTGTACACGCTTGCGTGTGTACACGTGTGTGCGTGTGTGTGTGCGTACGCGTGTGTGTGTGTGTACACGTGTGTGTGCGTGTGTACACGTGTTGTGTGCGCCTGTGACAACTTGCATCTCGAAAGCTAAGCACGTCTGAGCCCGGATTGGTCAAGTTGGGCGAGTCCTGCACCACGAGATTCCTTCCGACATTGCAAGCCACGGGGAGCTACGCACCTTTCAAGTCGTCACACTAATCTTCAGAACTGCTTTTCGCGCGTTCAGTTTGTCGTCCTTCCAGCCCGCCCGCCCGCCCGCACCTCCGTATTGGCGACGGTTTGTCTCCATACGTACGGCGCGAAAGAAGTCCAACTCGCTAACGTGCATTGCAGGTCATCTCACCTCTGTGGAAGCAGCAGCAGCAGCCGCCACGCCACCCGAGTGCAGTGTGCGCTCGCTTCCTGGCGGACAGCGCCACGCGGACGCCTCGGTGCACGACCGAGTGATGCTGGTGCTGAAGGCGTATGACAAGGTGGACCCGCAGAAGGTGAGCGAGGGGACGAGCGGCGCGATGCCACGCAAACAAATTGCAAAGGTCCCCCGTGTAGCCCGTGGCAGGCTGTCGGGGCAAGTGCGGTTAGTCAGCAGCAGCGCCTGCGAAGGCCGGGGTCGGGTGGGTCAGCACCACGCCCGGCCGCCTTTGTCTCCCCCAGCGGCGATGTTTACCGCGCACCGCACCGGGTACTCATTTGAGGCTGAGTCGACCTAGGGGGAGGCCCAGGACGGCTTCAGAAATCGTCGGCGGTGTTGGACCGTGAGCGGGAATCGAACTTGTAACCTACAAATCTCTACACACGCATTCACATGCCTCTACACACACATTCACATGCCTCTACACACACTCACATGCCTCTACACACGTTCGTATATGTACACTCTCACTCGTACACATCTGTGTTACGCAACGCACAAAGACCACAAATATGGCCTTGAACATACTATCTTATTTGACAGGTACTATTCTACTTTACCGAGTGTTGACATCCCCAGCGTTTAACAGTACTCTCCTTTTTGTATTTGGATTGTCAACCAACACCGGTACACAACAACATGTGCACCTGTTGTTCTCTTTTAGCCCCGCCTACCCCCCCCCAATACGTTCCACTCATTGGCTACCACATTCAGATAAGCCCCTCCCCCCTCCTCCCCCCTTAACTTGTATTTAAGAGCTTGTATCTTGGAATCTCTGCCTCACTTGATACAGCAAATCTGGCTGTGACGGTCCCACCTGAAGACGGAGATTTGTGTTGCCTCCGAAACTATTATTTATATACTATTTATTATGTTTACCTACGCGACTTTACCGAAAAAAGTATGAATCCTTGCAGTCACGAAAGCTTCAAATTGGCCTTGAACAGACTATGTTGGGGAAAGTGCGAGCCCCTAGTTACGTACACATGCACTCGCACACACGGTTACGTATCTTTACACACTCACGGTTACACGCACGCACACACGTGGCTGTGAATGTTCCTGTGTGCGGGGAGCGGTAGCGCAGCGGTGAGCGCGCGCGCTACGAACCCGGCGACCCGAGTTCGGCTCCCGCTCGCGGCCAACACCGGTGACGATCGTCTGAACCGGTGCTGCGCCTCCCCTAGGTCGACTCGGCCTCAAATGAGTGTGTAAACATCGGGCCGGGCGTGGTGCTGGCCACCCACCCACCCCCTCGTGTGCCGTGCCGGCCTTCATAGGTGCTGCTACTCGCCCACAACATTTGCCCCCCACGCTACGGTCTGTTGAAGGCCACGCGGGCGATTCTTTGTCTTCGCAGCTAACGCTAGAGTCTCACTTCCTGAAAGACCTGGGCCTTGACAGCTTGGATCAAGTGGAGCTCATCATGGGCATCGAGGATGAGTTTGGTGAGAGATTGGGGAGACACAGACACTCGCACACAAAGGCAGAAGAAGCCGTGTAGCCTCGCACGGACTGTTGGGGCAAGTGCTGTTAGTGAGCAGCTGTGAAGGCCGACTTAGCACACGATGCGGCGGAGTCGTTAGCACCACGCACGGCCGCCTTTGTCTCCCCAGTGGCGACGTTTGTACGCACCGCTACGCCAGGTACTCGTTAATGCACGGGTGGAAAAAACCCGATTTTTGCAGCGGCAGGCATCGTGTTTTTTCTTTAATACAATTGAACCCGATTTCGGGGAGTTAAAACCCGGTTTAATGAATACGAAGCTCTGATCCAAGGCTTAGGCTGCTTCCTCGTCGGTGCTGCTGTCGTATTCGGGGGGGGGCGTCGGGCACGGGGTAGTCGTAGAATGCGGCGGGCAGGTTGGTCGTGATGAACACGAGCTTCTCCTCCACAATCGTGGGCGCCGCCAGTGAGTTCCTTAGCTTGGGGAATGGATGAAGCCCATCGCTGAGAAGTGCGATTCTGCAATTAGAACCAATGAAACCGGATTTCTCCCAATCTCAGATGATCGGGATTAAATAAAAAGACAATTAAATCGGATTTCTCCCAATCTCAGATGATCGGGATTAATATAAAAAGACAATTAAATCGATTTCTCCCAATCTCAGATGATCGGGTTTATATAAAAAGACAATTAAATCGGATTTCTCTCAATCTCAGATGATCGGGTTTAATATAAAAAGACAATTAAATCGGATTTCTCCCAATCTCAGATGATCGGGATTAATATAAAAAGACAATTAAATCGGATTTCTCCCAATCTCAGATGATCGGGATTAATATAAAAGACAATTAAATCGGATTTCTCCTAATCTCAGATGATCGGGTTTAATATAAAAAGGCAATTTTTGTAAAAAACCCGACTGTGCCAGGTGTGACTGGTGCGTGTGGTGTGTCTGGGGTGATTGGGGTGCCTGGAGTGACTGGCATGTCTGCTGTGCCTGTAATATCTAGCGTGTCTGGTATGTCTGGTGTGCCTGCCGTGCCGACCGACATCCCCTTGTCTTTGCCGTCCCAGGTTTTGAAATCCCCGACTCGGACGCAGAGAAGCTGCTCACAGCTAAGGACGTCATCGCCTACGTCAGCAAGAAGCTCAGCGAGTAGCACGCCGGAGAGCCGGGGGGGGGTGGCGGCATCACCGGCGCGGCTTGAGGTGTGCGTCTCGCAAGGGCACGGCGACACGGCGACAAGCCGGCCAGCCGACACGGGCCCCGATGCTCTTTCACGTTGTGATCATCTTCAGCTTGGCGTGCCGCGCGCACGGAAGCTTACGAGCGACGCGTTGATTTTGCCGGTGTCAAAGTGGAGAAAACATGAGAATGTGTCGATTTAAAGCTTTCGTGACTGCAGGGATTCATCTTCTTGGTTCTTTCGGTAAAGTCACGTAGAATGGAAATAATACAATGATAAAAATAAAACATAATACAATAACTCACGGAGAATGGAAATAATAAAATATTTAAAATAAAACATTATTAAATAATTCTCAATTTTATTATGTTTTATTTTTATTATTTTATTACTTCTATTCTACGTGACTTTACGGAAATAACCAAGAAAATGAGAATGTGCTTTACGCTCTATGGCAATAAAATGGGATTCGTGTTAAGAGTTTCAAACACCAAATAAGGTGCCTTTTTTCAAGGATTCGAGTTCCTGCATGAACCAGACGCAATTCCTTGCGGTGAACACGCAAACACAATCGCGTGGCTTTGATGACAATCTATGATGCATTCAATCTTGATTTGAAGTTTTCGTGACTGCAGGGATCCATACTCTTTGGTTCTTTCGGTAAAGTCACGTGGTCGTGTGTGTGCGTGTTTTTTTTCAGGGTGAAAATCGTCGTTAGCTTCGGCACTGAACAAGACGCACCTTTCACTATTTAAACAATAAAATCTGAACGCGAAAGAAACGCAGGGAGTCGCCGTTATATGTTATTGACCCGCACACAGACGATCCGAAGGTCACCCGT